CAGACGAAAGAAACAGAGAGCCTAGAAACAGATCCATGAATAAATAAGATCTCAATATATAATGGAGGTGGATTAATAATCAGCATAAAAAAGAAACAAAGCAGGAGGTATCACACTTCTAGACTTCAAAGTTTACTATAAGGCTACAGTAATCAAAACAGCCTGGTATTGGTACAAGAACAAGCACGTAGACCAATGGAACAGGACAGAGATTTGGGAAGCAAAGCCTCAATTCCTCAACCAACTCATCTTTGACAAAACCTCCAACAACCACTGGGGAAGAAAACATATTCAGTAAATGATGCTGGGAAAACTGGCTGACCACATGCACAAGACTGAAACAGGACCCCTACTTATCACCATACACAAAAATTAACTCTAAATGGATCAAAGACCTAAATGTAAAACCTCAAACTATAAGAATCTTAGAAAATTCAGGAGACACCCTTATGGAAATTGGAACAGGCAACCAATTCCTATTCAGAACCCTAAAGGCAAATGCCTTAAGAAATAAGATAGACAAGTGGAACCTCATCAAACCAACAAGCTTCTGCAAAGCAAAAGAAACCATCAACAGAGCAGGGAGACAGCCCACAGAATGGGAAAAAATCTTTGCCAACTGTATATCTGACAAAGGCCTAACATCTACAAGGAACTCAAATGCGCCGAAAGGAAAAAAAAAACCAGCCCTTTTAAAAAGTGGGCAAAAGACATGAATAGACACTTCTCAGAAGAAGATATACAGGCAGCCAACAGATACACGAAAAAGTGCTCAGCCTCACTCATTATCAGAGAAATTCAAATCAAAACCACATTGAGATACCACCTAACCCCAGTAAGAATGGTCATCATTAATAAAACAAACAACAAAAAATGCTGGTGAGGATGTGGAGAAAAAGGAACGCTTCTACACTGCTGATGGGAATGCAAACTAGTGCAACCTCTTTGGAAGAGAGTATGGCAATTTCTGAAAGAACTTGAAATTGACCTTCCATGTGACTCAGCAATTTCCCTATTGGAAATACACCCGGAGGAATTCAAATCATTCTACAAAAAAGATAACTGCACACGTTATGTTTGTTGCAGCTCTATGCACAATAGCAAAAACATGGACCCAACCATGCTGCCCATCGAAGCTGGACTGGATAAAGAAAATGTGGTACATATACACAATGGAATATTATGCAATCATAAAGAAGGACAAATATATGGACTTTGCAACAACTTGGATGGATTTGGGGTTGATCATACTCAGTGATCTATCACAGAAACAAAGAATAGAGTACCATATGTTCTCACTCATAAGCGGACCTTGAACAATTATAAGAAAACTATAAGAAAGCGTTTGGCAGTAATGGGAAACTGTCGGGGGAGGGGGAGGTGGGATTGGCAGTTAATGGAAACTGCTAGGGGAGGGAGGGGCATACCTCATCAACAAGGGTACCTACATAATTAATGTTTGTATACCTAACCCTGAATTGTACCTCACATATTTATAATTTAAAGAAAAGAAAAAATAATAATCAGCATAAAAAAAGATGAAGGATGGACTAATCAGTAAATAGTGCTGGAGCAACTAATTATTCATATGGAAAATTATAAACTAAGATACTGTTTCACACAATTTATCAAATTAAGATAAAACTATATTAAAAGCCAAATCATAAGATTAAAAAAATAGGCTACATTAAAATTAGTGAATATTGTATGAAAAAAGCACCATAAACAAAGCAAAAAAGCAACAGACTGAAAGAAAGTACCTGTAGCCTACACTACAAAGGATCAACAAGTAGAATCAGCGACAATGTAAGAAAAAGCCAAATAACCCAACAGAAAAATAGGAGTGAGGGGGGTAAATAAGTGTATGAAAAAATACTCCGCCTCACTAGGAATCAGTGAAATAGAAATCAATGCAGCAACGAATTACCATTTCACAACTATAAAACTGGTAAAAATGACCAACTCTGGCAACGTAAGGTGCTAATGAGGCTCAAAGAAGTTGGAACAGAAACATTAGCACATTAACTGGCACAGAACTGGAGAGCAATTGGGTGATACCTAACAAGGATGAAGAGATAAAAACCCAATGACCGAGCAATTTCACTTCTAGGAACAAGTACTCAGACACTTGTGTAAGAATATATGTTTAAAAATGCTCTCTGTAGCACTATTTGTAATTGCAAAAGGTATAATAATCAACAGTTAATCAGTAGGTGAGCAGATAAACTGTGCCGTACTTCTACAATGGCATAATATACACAGTAAATAGATCTCTGTATATTCACATGCATAAACCTCAAAAATATACTATTGCATTAAAAAAACAAGCTGTTGGCTCAGCTTGGTGGCTCCAGTCTCTAATTCCAGCACTTTGGGAGGCGGAGGCAAGAGGATTGCCTGATTCCAGGAGTTCAAGACCAGACTGGGCAACTTGGCAAGACCTTGTCTCAACAATAAATAAAAAAATTAGCTGGGCATGGTGGCATGCGCCTGTAGTTCCAGCTATTTGGAAGGCTGAGGTAGAAGGATCTCCTGAGCCCAGCAGGTCAAGGCTGCGGTGGTCGTTGAGTGTGCCACTGCACTCCAGCCTGGGTGACAGAGTGAGACCCCGACTCAAAATACATACATACACACATACATAAAAATGTAAAAGACAAGCTGCAAAGTAAATGTACAGAATAACACCACTTATAAATATTCTGACTACACAAAGCCATAACCTTTATCCTTTTTATTTATTTAAGACATCAGCCTCACTATGTTGGTTAGGCTGGTCTCACACTTTTGGCTTCAAGCTATCTTCCTGCCTTAGTGTCCCTAGTGGCTGGGACTACAGGCATGCACCACCCATTTATTCTTTATGGATATATACACACATTTTTACAAGAACAAACGAATACAGCAAAATGATCATACCAGAATCAGAGTAGTGGCTATCTCTTAATCTAAGGGGAATAGGTAGCCAAAAGGAGAAAAGGTAGGGTTTTGGCAGTGTCCATTACATTTTATTATTTAAAAAAATCATGGAACAAATATAGAAAATACTAATACCTTTTAAATCAGGGCAGTAGATACTTGGATATCTGTTAATATTTTCATAAATGTTTCATATTTTGTATGTTTCTATGTTTGAAATACCAAATGTTACTTATTAAAATTTCTCATACCTCACGATGTCTGCCCTGCCTAGTGCATGGAGATGCTATATGAATTAAGAGATAAGGCTGATGTGTCATTCTTGGTAAACCATATGGTACTTATCAAACACACACAAGGCACTATCACTTATAATCCACACAATGAGGTCTGGGTCTTACTTACAGCCTTACACAGGCTTTTATCTATATCAACATTATCTTGATTACTTACATTTTTCATTGGATTTGACTCTGAATGACTTCTGGCTGTTTTTAAGAGTTAAATCTCACCTCAAACCCTAAAAACCTAATATCATTTAAAATATCTTAATCAAAGTAGGGTGTGTAGTGCATGCCTGTAATCCCAGCTACTCAGGAGGGTGAGGTGGGAGGATTGTTTGAGTCCAGGAGGCCAGCCTGGGCAACATAGCAAGACTCTGTTGCCTAAAAAAGAAGAAAGAAAAGTTAATCAAATCTGATGCAAGCTTTGAAGAGAACTATAAAAAGAGAATTCTAAAAATGTTCTGAGCAATAGTAGAATCAGTAGAATGAGTTTATAGTCTCGCAAAGTGGCTCTTTGAAAGATAAGAGCACTCACATAGTTGCCCACCAATGACAGAAAATCAGTCTCATTATGTTCCTATGTTTACAGCATTTTCCCCACTTATTAGTTAGTTGCATCTCCATCCTAAGGTTACAAGTCAATAGGACAATTCGGCATGGTGGTTAAGACAATGACTGCAGTTTTCTGGCTACTTGGGTTAAATCCTGACTCTGAGCTTTGCTACACACATGACCCTAGTTCAAGTTATTTAACTCTTCTAGTTTCCTCAACAATAATAAGGTATTTTTAAACAGGAATTATGAAAATAAAATGAGATAATGCACATAAATCACTTAGTGCTAGGCGCTGGGCTACTTCTGTTGCTGCTGCTGCTGTTAACTATTATTATTATTGGCAAGATGGGGTCAGCGAACTTTTTCTTAAAGGATCAGGTAACAAATATTTTAGTCTTTGTAGGTCATAAAGTTTATGTTGCAACTATTCTACTCCGCCTTTGTAGCCTGAAAGCAGCCATAGATGATACATAAATGAAAGGGAAGAGCTGTGTCCAATAAAACTATATTTACAAAAACAGTAAGCCAAATTTGGCCTGTGAGTCAGCATTTGCTGATCTCTGACTGTATATGCTATTTGTATGTGATCTGCATAAACTTGCATGGACTATGCAATCTGTTATTAGATTAGAAAGATATTACTCCAAGAATTGGCATGTCTTTTTTCTCTTCCTCATTCTATTTTCTGTAATTTACTTGGCAGTCCTGTAAGTACCTGGCAGACACAAAAAAGTGTCAGAAATTAGAGAATATATCAAAGGATATGAAAGTTTCACCACACAACAGTTTTGGCATAGGCTTTAGGACTCTGTAATTGATCAAAAGCTAGTGGCTTTCCTTTAAAAGAGCCTCTAAGATAAGCAAAACTATAAGGAAAAGGAAGCCAGGTCTTCTTTCCAGTCTTAGTTTCTTTTCTACTCTTGTTATTTTCTAATTTACTGTAGGAAAACAGTAATGAGGAAATAAGAGTATATTGTTGTTTCTTTAAACATGTTTATAATTAATGAATAGATCCACTTCCAGCTCTATGATTACCAGAAGTTCTTTAGAAGCCATTGGCAATCACATTTAGGACAAGCCTCTGTATTATTCCTAATAGTAGCCTACATCTGGAAGAACCCAGCCTTCTATATTGCCTTCACCCCTACTCCCTCCTCAGACCCTGAGCTGGCAGGAGGGCCTCTGCGGTTGTGGGAAATGACAACATGGACAGAAGATGCCAAAACCCGTGTCTGCTGGACTCACCTGCAGCTGGAGGCTCAGGACCCTGTGCTTCACAGCAGAGGCATGCAGGGCTTGGTTCACACAGACCTGTCCTAGTTGCTGCCTCCACTTGCTCCACCATACCCTGTCAAAGAGAAAATTGAAGATGGAACCAGCCAGAAAAAAGCCACCCCAAAATGAGAGGGGCAGTTAATGCTGGGCCTCAGACCCTCGGCTTAAGTCAGTACCATTTCTAGATTAATAACTGCTAGATCCACTGCTGGGAAAAACAATCAAGAAATAGTTGTAAAGCTGCCATTTAAAGGTTGGAAACTGATGGTCCCTAAGGTCAGATCCACCCTTAGACACTCTAGACATGCTGCTCTGGCCTATGCAGTTTGTTTTTTCAAAAAAAATATGAGTTCTCAGTCAGGCACAATGGCTTACACCTGTAATTCTAGCACTTTGGGAGGCCAAAGCAGGAGGATCACTGAATTCAGCAGTTCAAGACCAGCTTGGGCAACACAGCAAGACATCGTATCTACAAAAAATAAAAAATTAGCTAGGCATGGTGGTGTGCGCCTGTAGTCCCAGCTACTTGGGAGGTAACATGGGAAGACTGCTTGAAACCAGGAGTTGGAGGCTTCATTGAGTCATGATCATGCCATTGCAGTTCAGCCTGGGCAAGAGTGAGACTCTGACTCAAAAACAAAATAATATATACTTTCATTTCAGTCTTGATTTCTTTTCTACTTATTTTTTAATTTGCTACAGGAAAACAGACATGAAAATTGCTTTACCAAAATACTCACCTTGCCTGGCCACTGTAACCCACGAAGATTTCTCTTAGACCATGCTTACCTGCAGCATTCACTTTAAAACCTCAAGCTACTTGCATTATTACTTACTTTTTAAGCACTTAGGGAATTAAAATTTCCCTGAATACAATTACTGCACCAAGTCAGTACCAAGAACATTTTAAGTCCTCAATAAATACATTGAATAAATGAATTAATTATATAAAAATATTTGCCAAAGACTCAAGTAAAATTATATACTAATCAAGCATTTAAAAATACTTAGTAACTTCTTTATGTTCACTGATGTTCTGGGCACTGCTAAATACTTTTCATATATTACTTTATTTATTCCTCATGACAAAGTATGGTGTGCCTATTTTACAGATGAGGAAACTGAGATCTGAGATCTGTAGAGATGAAATGACCAATAATACAGGTTGAAACAGGGATTTAAGTCCAAGTCAGTGCAGCTGCAAAGCCTCTGCTCTTATCCATACTATATTCAGTGCCCACCTCTTTTTGGCAAGAACTGATCTATTAACATACTGTCATTCACGACACCAGTGACCACTAGAGACAATGTGCAGGGCAATCAGTCCCATCATAAAGCAGTTCATTATTACATGTGCTAGCTTTAAAAATGAACTAATTCATCCTCCTCCAATGCGTTCATAATGCTAATGGAAAGCGGCAGTTAACAGTATGGGTGAGCGAGCCAATTACAACCTGTATGTGCTCAGCCAAGTTATTTGACCCCTTGGGGCCTTATTGTATATCTTTATCTGTACAATAATGGTACTTGTTTTATAGTTTATAGTGAGGATTAAATGATATACTTTAAGTTTAAAAATTAATTCACGCACACACAAACTTAACACAGAGTTTAGAACATAGTACTTAATTAGTGTTAATTATGACTAGGTGAAAACCTGATCTTATAGTTGAACAAGTTATCAAAGTTTATTAGGCATCAAAATATTGTTTTAAGGTGGTTTTGCTGTTGTTGTTGTAGAGATGAGGGGGAGTCTTGCTATTTTGCCCAGGCTGGTCTTGAACTCCTGGCCCCAAGCGATCCTCCTGCCTTGGCCTCTAAAAGCAAAGGGATTACAGGCATGAGCTACCATACCCAGACTTAAGGTGGGGTTTTTTGGTTTTTTTTTTTGAGTTGGAGTCTCACTCTGTCGCCCAGACTGGAGTGCAGTGGCCGCTCCCGGCCACCGCAGCCTTGACCTGCTGGGCTCCAGCGATCCTTCCACCTCAGCCTTCCGAGTAGCCGGAATTACAGGCATGTGCTACCATGTGGTTTTTTATGCTGCCTTCTAGCAGCAAAAAGCTGCTGAGGTAAAATGATGGCTGCTGATCTGTAAAACAAGTGAGAGCACTCACCGTAAGATACTGTGATGCCTAAACTCCAGAGCGGTGGTCTGCATTTGAAGTTTGGTCCTGCGAACAACCACGTAGATCAGCCAGGACTTCCAGGCCTGTTGCATCTTTTGCTTTACATCTAGATTCACCAAAGGGATTTTTAAAAAGGCCGTGAGGAGAGATGGATCATTCTGGGTTATGATAAAAGATCAAGGACTGTATTCATCCCTCCTCTGAATATCTAAAACTCTTCAGCCTGCAAGTGCCCCCTACTGGAAAAGTTGTGAAGCACTACAAAATTAATAAGGATGCAAGAACATGTGAAGATTTTACATAAGTGATGACGTTTATAGAGCATTTAAAGGAAAATCAATGTACTGAACTGTTCAGAAATCCTTTGCTTTAAAGCTCTTATTTTTTATAGATATATTCTGCAACATTTAGATGAAGTGATGTGAATAAACAGGCAGCAACTGCCAGGCAAAGTGGCTCAAGCCTGTAATCCCCGCACTTTGGGAGGCTGAGGTGAGAGGATTGCCTGAGCTCAGGGGTTCAAGACCAGCCTGGGCAACATGGTGAGACCTCATCTCTACAATAAATAAAAAAATAAGCCAGTCGTTGTAGTGCATGCCTGTAGTTCCAGCTACTTGGAAGCCTAAGGTGGAAGGATCACCTGAGCCCAGCAGGTAGAGGCTGCGGTGGCCATGAGCGTGCCACTGGACTCCAGTCTGGGAAACAGAGTGAGACCCCATGCAACAAAACAAAACAAAATAAAAAACAAGCAGCAAAGAAGTAGAAAAAAGGATGTAACAAGAATGACATGAGATGATTTATTCCTTATGACAAACCTGAAAAATTGGTAAGCCTATTTTACAGATGAGGAAACTGAGAGCTGTAGAGATGAAATGACCAATAATACAGGTTGAAACAGGGATTCAAATTCAAGCTGTTCAAGCTAGGTGATAGGTACATGGAGGTTCATTATTCTATCTTTCAATTTTGTAGATATCTAAAATTTTCCACAATACAAAGTTAAAGAAGAAACCATATGACTGGACATGGTGACTGACACCTGTAATCTCAGCACTTTGGGAGGCTGAGGTGGGAGGACTGCCTGAGCCCAGGAGTTTGGGACCTGCCTGGGCAACATAGTGAGACCTCATCTCCATGGAAAATTTTTTTTAAAAAAGAAAGAAAAAACAAACTTAGCCAGGTGTGCTATCAGGAGGCTGATTCAGGAGGATCACTTAAGCCCAGGAATTGGAGGTTTGGTGAGCTGTGATCATGCCACTTCACTCCAGCCTGGGTGACAGAGTAAAGCACTGTTTAAAATCAATCAATCAATCAATCAATCAATCATGTTATAAAACTTGCTGTTTAACTTCAAGTTCATTCTTGTTGGTTTAAAAAAAAGAACTTGCTACTTGAAACAATAATTGTGAATTCGAATAAGCAAGACAAAAGTAAAGGAGGAATCTGTTAAAGAAACAATAAAAAGCACCAGTAAAGATCCTGGAGAAGAAAAGACAATTCACTATATGGAAGATATAAAGGTCCACAGGTCTCCCTTTGTAACAAATTCCACTTTCATTATGAAATCACCACTAATGAAGTAAATTTCTTTTCTTTTTAGAAGACAAAGGAGAAAATAAAATTATGTAAACCATTTTTAGGATAGTCTCCGAAATGTAGTCAGTAGGACTATAAAAATACTTTATATTTCATAGGTGTTGATCAAGATATGGAGAACTTAACATGGAGCTTCCTTGGGACCACCCTGGATCCTAGAAATTAACATGTCAGGTAATGAAGACTACTGTGATGGTGTGGTTTAGACTTTGGGATCCTGAGCAAGACAAGCCAGATTTCAATATCAACCCATTCAGCTAAGTAATCTCATACTTCTTCATCTGTAAAATGGTGCCTCCCTCAGGTCTATTTGTAAGTGTAAATGAGATTATCTATGAAAAATATCTCCAATAAATGCTAGCTTTTATTTCCTAAGTGTGGTGTGGAACACAGGAATATGCACTGTCTCTGCTATGACTCTGATGCACATGACAATTTGATAACCATGCTTCCCTAAGGACTGAAAGTACTTGCAAACTTTTTACTTAACAATGCAAGAGCGGCCGGGCTCGGTGGCTCAGCCTGTAATCCCGCATTTTGGGAGGCCAAGGTGAGTGAACTGCCTGAGTCCACGGGTTCGAGACCCACCTGGGCAACTTGGCGAGACCTCATCTCTACAATAAATCAAAAAAATTCGCCAGGCGTGGTTGCACGCAACTGTAGTTCCAACTACTTGGAAGGCTGAGGCGGAAGGATCGCCGGAGCCCAGCAGGTCGAGACTGTGGTGGCCGGAAATGTGCCACTGCACTCCAGTCTGGGCAACAGAGTGAGACTCCAACTCAAAAACAAAAAACAAAAACAATGCAAGAGCAAAAACATGGAACGAACTGGGCTGCCCTGCCCACCGAAAGTAGACTGGATAAAAAAAATGTGGCACATATACACAATGGTATATTACACAGCCATAAAGGACAAAATTATGGACTTCACAGCAACTTGGATATATTTAGATTCTATCATACTCGGTGATCTATCACAGAAACAAAGAGCTGGGTACCATACGTTCTCACTCATAAGTGGACCTTGAACATTTACCATAATACTACATGAAAAAGATTGGCAGTAGCATATCATTGCCAGGGGAGAGGGAGCCACATACCATTAATAAGGGTACCTGATCCCAAGCCAGATGAAGTGAGGACCAATGGGAGGCCCAAACTTCCCCTGTATGATGACCACTTATGTACCTAACCCTGAATTGTATCCCACATCTTTCTTTCTTTTTTTTTTTTTTTTTTTTTTGAGTTGGAGTCTCACTCTGTCACCCAGACTGGAGTGCAGTGGCCATTCCTGGCCACCACAGCCTTGACCTGCTGGGCTCCGGCGATCCTTCCGCCTCAGCCTTCCAAGGAGCTGGAACTACAGGCGCGTGCTACCACGCCCGGCTAATTTTTTTTATTTGTTGTAGAGATGAGGTCTCGCCAAGTTGCCCAGGTGGGTCTCGAACCCATGGGCTCAAGCAATTCACTCACCTCAGGCTCCCAAAGCACGGGATTATAGGCTGAGCCACCGAGCCCGGCTATCCCACATCTTTCAAATAAAAAACAAACAAAACAAAACAATGCAAGAGTGAACGGATCCACGATCATGGCCTGAAATAACCGTCATATGGCAGAGAGAACTCCTTGTCTCTTAAAAATGCAAGTGACTTTTTCCTTTCCTGGTATTCTTTGTAACTATAAATTATAATATAAGACAGCAGAATGCACATTCTACCAGCACATATGGAACATTTACAAGATAGAGCATATTCTGGGCCATAAAGCAAACCTTAACAAAATTAAAAGAACTGAAATCATACTAAGTCTTGTCCTCTGACGTAATGGGATAAATTAAAAATCCTGAAGGGAAAGGCCAGGTGTGGTGGCTCACGCCTGTAATCCCAGCACTTTGGAATGCTGAGGTGAGAGGAATGCTTGAGCTCAGGAGTTCAAGATCAACCTGGGCAACATAGTGAGACCTTGTCTCTACAAAATAAAAAAAATAAAAATTAGCCAGGCATGGTGGCGCATGCCTGTAGTCCCAGCTATTCTGGAGGCTGAGGAATAAGGATGACCTGAGCCCGGGAGGTTGAGGCTGTGGTGAGCCGCGACTGTACCATCGCACTCCAGCCTGGGCAACAGAGTGAGATCCTGACTCAAAAATAAATAAATACATACATAGATAAACTAGGAAATCCCCAAGTATTAGAAATTTAAACATGTTTCTAAATAATATATGAGGCAAAGCGGGAGTCACAAAGGAAATCAGAAAACATTTTTTACTGAATGAAAACAGGAATACAACTTATTAAAATTTGTGTGATGCAGTTAAAGTAGTGTTTAAGGGAACTTTACATCAGCAAATGCTTATGTTAGAAAAAAGGTAAAGTCACAAATCAATAATCTCAGCTTGTACCTTAAGGACCTAGAAAAACATCAAATTGGCCGGGCTCGGTGGCTCAGCCTGTAATGCCGCACTTTGGGAGGCTGAGGTAAGTGGATTGCCTGAGCCTGAGGGTTCAAGACCCGCCTGGTCAACTTGGCGAGACCTCATCTCTACAATAAATCAAAAATTAGCCAGGCGTGGTAGCATGCACCTGTAATCCCAGCTACTTGGAAGGCTGAGGCGGGAGGATCACTGGAGCCCAGCAGGTTGAGGCTGTGGTGGCCAGGAGCGGCCACTGCACTCCAGTCTGGGTGACAGAGTGAGAGTGCAACTCAAAAGAAAAAGAAAAAAATCAAATCAAAACCAGAGATTGCAGATGATAATAATAAAGATTGGAGCAGAAATAAAGGAAATAACAGAGAATATTAATGAACACAAAAGCTGATTACTTGCAAAGATCAATAAAATTGATAAACGTCTTATCAGACTGGCCAAGGATAAAAGATAGGAGACACAAATTGGGCTGGGTTCAGTGGCTCAGCCTGTAATCCCAGTACTTTGAGAGGCCAAGGCGAGTGGATTGCCTGAGCCTGCGGGTTCGAGACCAGCCCGGGTAACTTGGCAAGACCTCATCTCTACAATAAATCAAAAAAAAAGAAGACACAAATTACCAACATCAGTAATGAAGAGGGCTATGGCTACATACATATCCTGAAGACATTAAAATTATAATGATGTATTCAATGCCCATATATTTGACAATATATTTGAAATGGATCAATTCCTTGAAAGATACGCAAACTCACTCAAGAGAATAACCTAAAAAAACTCCTTATATTTATATTTGAAATTAAAGTTTAAAACCCTCCAACAAAGAAAACTCTAGGCTTAAAGGATATCACTGGAGAATTTTACAAAACATTTAAGGAAGAAATAACACCAATTCTAAAAATCTCTTTCAGAAAAAAGAAGAGGCTGAAATACTTCCCAATTCATTCTATAAGGCTAATATTACCCTGAACCAAAATCAGACAAAGGCATTATAATAAATCTGTAGACCAATATCCCTCATGAATATAGATGCAAAACTCTCAACAAAATATTAGCAAATTGAACTCAGCAATACATAAAGACTGGCATTAATCTAGAAATGTAAAGCTGGCTCAAAATCTGAAAATCAGCTGGGTGTGGTAGCATACATTTGAAGTCCCAGCTACTTAAAAGGCTGAGTCATGACATAAGCCTAGGAGTCAAGACAAGCCTGGGAAAATAGCAAGACCCTATCAAAAAAAAAAATTAAAAATCACTCTATATAATTCATCATAGTAACAGACTAAAAAAGAAAAGCTACAAAATCATCTCAATAGATACAGAAAAACAATTTGAAAAAATTCAATATCCATTAATGATAAAAATGCTTCAAAAAAACTAGGAGTAGAATAGCACTTCCTTAACCTGATGAAAGACATCTACAAAAAACCCTGCTACCAATATTATACTTAAAAATTGAATGCTTTTCCCTTGAGATCAGGAACAAGGGAAAACACCCCTACCACTCTTATTTAATATCACACTAGAAGCACTAGAAAACCTTATCGGTACAATTAAAAAAAAAAGAATTTAGAAAGGAAGAAATAAAGCTGGCTCTACTTACAGACAATTTGACTGTTTACATAGAAAATCCCATGGACTCTACCAAAGATCTCCTATAATTAATAAGTAGACTTAACAAGGTTGCAGGATATAAAAGATCCATATGTAAAACTACGGAACTCTTAGAAGAAAATATAAGAGAAAATCTTTGTGACTTTGGGCTAGGCAGAGTTCTTAGAGATGAACTCTAAGATATGATATTAAAAGCATAATCCACAAAATAAAAAATGGGTCAACTAGACTTCAACAAAATTTAAAATTTTCGTTTTGCAGAGGACACTGTTAAGAGAATGAAAAGACAAGCCACAGACTGTGAGAAAACATCTTGAGATCCTGCTTTTGAAAAACCACTTGTAACAGAATATATGTCAAAAACAAAAACTTTCAAAACTCAACAAGAACACAACCCAATTTAAAAGGACAAAGAATCTTGAACAGACACTTCACCAAAAAAGAGATAAATAGTAAGTGAGCACAGGAAAAGCTATTCAACATCACTAATTATTAGGGAAATGCAAATTAAAACCAAAATAAAATACCTGTACACACCTATTAATATGGTTAAAAAACGTTTAATGGCAACACTAAGGATGTAAAGCAAGTAGAACTCTCATAAGTTGCTGGTAGAAACGCAAAATGGTACAGTCACATTAGAAATCTTGGCAGTTTCTTACAAAATTAAACTTAAAGCTACCACTATGTGATACAGCAATCCTACTTCTAGATAATTTACTCAAGAGAAGTATCCACACAGAGACCTCTATATGAATTTTTCTAGCAACATTATTCACAATTGCCTAAAGCTGGAAACAACAAGATATATTTCAACTGGTGAATGGATAAACAAACCTTAGTACATCCATACAATGAAATATGACTCAGCAATAAAAAGGAATAAACTACTGACACATGCAACAATCTGGATGAATTTCAAATGCATTATGTTAAGTGAAAGAAAGCAGAATCAAAGGCTACATACTGCATCATTCCATTTATGTGACATTCTGGAAAGGGAAAAACTGTAGAGATAGAGAACTGATCAATGATTGCCAGGAGTTGTATGTAGAAGGAGGGTGCTACAAAGGATTAGCAAGGAAAAAAAATTCTATTGGGAATGATAAAACTGTTCTGTCTTTTGACTGAGGTGGTAACTACATGACTCTATGCATTTATCAAAACTCTTAAACCAAAAAGAAGGAATTTTACTGTATATAAATTTAAAAATAAATTACAACAAAACAACTATGTTACTTATAGGCTAAACGGTGCTATAACTAAGAGATTTGGGTAAGATAAGACCTCACACTTTAGGAACACAGACGGGGAAAGACGAACTCACTGTGCTGGGGAGATCAGGGAAAGTTACACATTTAACATGGGCCTGAAGGAGGAACTGAAGGGGCAAAAATGAAAAGATAAGGAAGTGAACATCCAGTGTGTCGAGGGCAGAGGGTGTAGAGCAGTAAGAGAGGAAGACTTTGTATGTCATACCAAGGATCACTGACTTTATTTGATACACAAAGAGGAGGCAAGTAAACATTCTGCAAAGGAGCAACATGATCTTATCTATGTCTTGCCACTCTTAGTTATGTGTACAATGCCAAGGGGGAGAAAATAAATACGGGAGATGAATGAAGAGGTAAGAGGTACTTACAATACTCTGGGAAAAAGATGAAGATAACTCTTAAGCTGTGCAAAGAAGACTGCAAGTGATGCCTCATAGAGCTGTCTTCTAAGATTAGTTATCTGACTGATATGAGGTATGAGGACTCGGCAAGCCATTCCTAAATAAGGCTTCTCATGTAGAGGAAAGTAGCAGGAGGAGCAGATCTAAGTGGTAGGTAGGAGAGTTGATAGGTTGTATTTGTATGATTTGTGAAGTTCCTGAAGAACATTCATGTGGAATGCCTGTGAGGTAGCAGCTAAAACAGACTGTATTATAACTTGAAACTTGGTATCTTTTCCCCTAAGACTCCCTACATGGGTTTCTGGGTTCAATTCACAGAGAAACCAGACACTGACCAAGCTACACTGGCCACAGGTTCACTGAGGGGCAACTTGGGCAAAGCAGATCAGAAAAGTACACAGTAGCTCTACTCCAGAGTCTCCCTGCAACTAGACACAAGATAGCAAGATAGACGGAAGCCCCCCAGGTGCCACAGGAGAGTCACAGCCAGCACAGTGCACTAGCAGACCAGGAATAGCTAAGTCACACAAATCCCGGTTAAATGAGCTTTAAGTGCCCAAACTATGCTATGTGGAGAAAACCACAGGGATCTGATCATTCAGGTGTATGAGATCATACATTCTGAAAAATATGAAAGAAAACTGAACAAATCTTCTCTTTGACCTAGATTTATTCTCTCTCAGAGACAATGTTTTTGTCTTTCCCAAGGGCTTCTGAAAAAGTAAATTTGGGTATCTTCTTTCAATGTGTACTTCCTTTTCTCACCATGATCCTTGGCTCTAATGTACTTGCTCCTCATCTCTTGCTGTTGATGCACATAGGTCTTCCAGGTTTGGAACATAAGGTTGTACAAGTAATATCTGAGGAGTCAAAAAGGCAATTGACATTTCTTTAAGACAAAACAACTTCTAATCCAACACACCCAGTATGTTCTATACTCAGAAGAAATTAGCATACAAACTTCTGACTTAAAAAAGCTGCATCTGCAACAAAACTAAAATTTCATTTCCTACAATCACAATGAAGCCTACTGCCCTTGAAGAAGCATCATTCTCTACACCTTGAAGTGTCACTGAGGAAGAAAAAGTTTGACTTCTCTAAGAATAAAATTCATCTTCAGCAACTGCAAAGCCATGACTAAATAACAGCCATATCTTAATCATCATAATTATCCACACTACAAAATATACTTGTATTGCTTCTCTTTTGCACTGCAACATGGTCTATGATACATTTTCCTTTTCCTTCTACTTCTTGATATGTACACCTTAAGACCTTCAACTCTCCATATTTCCACTACTCCAGTTCCTAAGACTTGATTTCACATTCTATCAGCTTATCAGAACTATGCAGTGTATCTATGTTTTAACTGAAATCGCCATAAATTAGAACTATTGCCCCAAAGACCCTAAGAATGTCTACAACGACAGTAAATACCATTTTAGAGATACAATAAGATATGACATTCAGGGTTTTTTTTAAAGTCTAAAAATACATATTTGATATAATTCCCAATTTTTACTTTTTCCTCCATTTATCCCTGGAAATATGATGTCAAGGATTTTTCTCTATTTTCTTAATGTCCTACATTGGGCATATATTTTTGCCTATAATCAACTGAATTAAAACAATTTATTATTTTAAAAAACAGAATACTCTCAGAATTAGAAAGTATATAGCAGTGAGAATCATAAACCCCACTCAAATCATTAGCATGACCCCAAATGGCTACCTGAATTAAAGGGATAGGGACACGTCATGTGCCAAGCATGTACATGTATGCTTAGGCTTAATTTAGAACTTTGCTCTTGCTTACTCCAAAAAGAATTTTAAGAAAAACAAAAAGTTATCAAAAACTTTGCTCCTTTTGACCAGAAACTTATCAGCAAGTAGTTATTTGATAATGAACATCAGTAAAATTGATGTGATGTAACATGAAATCTGACCTGTAGTGACAGTCGGCTCGAACACAGAGTTTCCATTCATGACAGAAAACCCACCACTCTTTTTTCCATTTGTCAAAGACTTTCCATAGTAATCGCTGCTTATAGTAAAACCTAGGACAATGAAAAAAATCAAAGAACTGTATATGATGATGCTGGAGCTGATATCTATTCCCAAATCAGTTTCATACTGTCATTGCCTACTCATAAAAAAGTAAATAGTAAAATAGATTTAAAATGCACATATTTAACTTTTTCAGATCAGAACCTTAGAGCTACTTAAACTAGAAATAAGGCTTAAAAATTATACTACAGACATTACCAATTAAAGATGTTAAAGTAAAATAAAAATCTAACTTTTTAAATACCATAAGTGAGTTGAAAATTATTATTCTCAATTTTTTTAATTCACCAGAGTAAAAAATATTTTATTACTAAAAAAGTAGTAGTTACATCTCCTTTACATAGGAAATTAAAGTTATTTTAAAAAGTACCTAATGGTATTCCTAGTACTTAACAGAAACATAGCTTATTCATTTAACTGAAATCTGGGAGTGTTATAACAACAGCAAAAGATGATAAGAGAAAATAAAGAGAGGAAAAAGGTAATAAGAAAAACAGAAGAGCAGTGATAAAGTGTTGATGCTAACAAAGCACTATCAAGGTGACCAATAACTCAAAAACTCTAGTCCGGTCAGTTACTTTGAGTTTGTTTTCATGTTTCTGCAGGTTACTGTCTCCCTTCTCCTAATCCACTCATAGTTTTTAAAATTGGCTTACATACTATAAGAAAAGGATTGGGAGTAGTGGGAAACTGCCAGGGAGTTGGGGGGGGGGGGCAGTATACGGGATTGGTAGTAGTGGAAAACTGCCAGGGGAGGGAAGGGCACATCTCATCAACAAGGGTACCTACATAATGAACATTTGTATACCTAACCCTGAATTGTACCCACATCTTTAAAATAACAAATTTTTAAAAATAAAAATAAAATTGGCTTACAAAGATATATAAGGGGGGATACCCCCCAAAAAAACTTGGAATTTATTTATAAAAATTGTATATTTATTCTTACATGTTTAAACTTCAGTCACCTTCAAAGTACTCTCCATTTCATGCAATACATCTATTGGTATGCTTTTTCCACTGCTCAAAAGTATCTTTAAACTTGTCAATTTTGATGCCTTTTAGTACTTCTGTCATTTTTTGTTTCACCTCTTCCACATTGGCAAAATGTTTCCCTTTAAGGGCTTTCTTCATCCAGAAAAAACAAACCAAAGAAAAGTCACTCAGGGTAAGAAGGGGTGAATAAGGGGTCATGCCATTTTGGGTCAAAAACTGCTGAACACTCAGCTCAGTGTGGGCAGGTGCACTCGCAAATCATCCATCATGAAATGGGCGAACATGTTAAAAGAATCGCCAAAATAAAATTCACTGAAGTGGAACACAGCCTCTCATAACAATGCTAGCTGGTATACTGATGCCGATGGGTTCCTACAACATTTACCTAGTGGGAGGAAGCCTGTACTACAAAGGCCCATAGAAATTATCCAAAAGATAATTCCAATTTTTGGGGGGTCCCCCCATACATAAGGAAATTTGCCTATTTCATAATAAACAAAAAAGAGAGAGAGAGTGAAACACCACAAATACCCATCAAGAGAAAAGGTTAAAGGAATCAAATCAATTCTTATTTTTTATGAATTAAGTAGAGTTAAGGACACTGAAATGGACAGATGATCCAGAAAAGTGGTTAGGTGAAAACATAAAGTTACTGCAGCCAGGTATGGTGGCTCACACCTGTATCCTGGCAATTTGGGAGGCAGAGGTGAGAGGACTGCCTGAGCCCAGGGGTTCAAAACCAGCCTAGGTAACTTGGTGAGACCTCATCTCTACAATAAATCAAAAAATTAGCTGAGTGTGGTGGTACACACCTGTGGCTGCTTGGAAGGCTGAGGCAGAAGAATCACCTAAGCCCAGCAGGCCAAGGCTGCAGCAGCTGTGATTGTGCCACTGCACTCCAACCTGGGTGACAGAATGAGATTCTAACTCAAAAAAAAAAGTTACTTCTGGTAGATATAACATTTTGTTTAAATTAATATTTTTATCAGCTGGGTGCAGTGGCTCATGCTTGTAATCTCAGCAATTTCAGAGGCTGAGATAAGAGGATTGCTTGAGCCCAGGAGTTCAAGACCAGCCTAGGCAACATACTGAGACCTCATCTCTAAAAAAATAAAAAATTAACTCGGCAGTCATAAAAAAGAATAAAATCATGTCCTCTGCAGCAACAGGGATGGAGCTGGAGATCATCATCCTAAGTAAACTGACTCAGAAGCAGAAAACCAAACACCACATGTTCTCACTCATACATGGGAGCTAAATTGGTCACAAAGATAGAAATAATAGACACTGGGGACACCAATAAGGAAGGAAGGGGGGAAGGAACTAGATTCAGAAACTACCTATAGGCACAACGTCCGTAATCTGGGGAATGGGCCACCTGAGACCCAGTTCCTACCACTACACAATATGTCCATGTAACAAACATACATGTGTACACCTGAATCAAACATTACAAAAAGAAAAAGATTAGCTGGGCATGGGAGCACTTGTCTGTAGTTCCAGCTATTTGGGAGGCTGAGGCAGAAGGATCAACACTCAAGGTCAAGGATGTGGTGAGCCATGATTGTGCCACTGCACCCCAGCCTGGACGACAGAGTGAGACCCTGACTCCCCCCAAAATTAATATTTTAATGTGTTTCCAGCACCCATATGTTGGAATTAATATTACATCAAATATATATACATATTTGTGTATACACATATATAAGCACGTGTGTATGTACACATAAATGATTATATTATACATATTAGGAATATGGAAAGAGCTCCAAAATACCAAACTATTACCAGCGGTTCTCTCTTAGAGAGGGATTATAGAAGACAGGTAATTCCTAAATTGAACATTTCTGTAACGTTTGAAAATTATTTGAACAGATTTCCTCACAATTTAAAAAATTTTAACAAAATGAACCATTTACTTTAGAACGAACATATCCATCTATCCTCTTTCCTTACCAAAGCTCTACTCAAATAATAGCAAATGCATTTTAGAAGGTGTAAGCCCACAAAGACAAAGAGAATAGAAGAGAGGGTAACAGACAAGAGCTGTCAACAGGTTTTAGGCAATAGAAACTAGGTAGGTGAGTGACAAATGGATTACCAGATAGACAAAGCACAGAACTAAGTGTCCTGTGTGGGGAGGGGAGGGAGACAAGAAGCAACTAGCTGGTGATGCAGACCCCAGAGAGGCATGGGAATGAGAGACATCAGGAAGTGGGGAGCCCTGAGGGGAAATGAAAAAAACAGGATCGTTTGTAAGTCTGGGTCTCAGAAGCAGTTAGGATCCTGGATCCTGCTATTCAACAAGCAGAGACTCAGGTTTATCTCTGGAGAGGCTGAACTAAAGGGGCACTGAACTCTAGAAAACTAGGCAAAACTTTGGAGGTAGTCCTAAACGGAGAGTCTACATACTGGACAGTGAGACAACAATCTCTTTCCCTTGTTTGCAGCCAAGCATATAACTACCACCTCCCGCTGCCTCAATCCCACCTCACCCCAAAAGGAGTTTGGAGGATGCCTCCCCTCTGAGGAAAACAGATCAACTTAAGGGGAAAGGCCTTCAGAGGTACAGACAACTGGAGATTCCCCAGTAAATTGCCTAGTCTCCGCCTTGAAAGCCTACAGTAAAGCTCTCAATTTGCAAATCCCCATGTATGTGTGTGTGTACACACACACACACACACACACACACACACACACACACACACACACGGGGATTTGCAAATTGAGATAGGTAGGTAATAGGCAGGTAGGTGGGTAGGTGAATGGATGCTTTTTTTTTTTGTCAGTGTCCCACTCTGTCACCCAGGCTTAAAGGTAATGGCATAATCACAGCTCACCACAGCCTTGACCTCCTGGGATCAGATGATCCTTCCACCTCAGTCTCTCAAGTAGCTGGGACTACTGACGTGCACAACCAGGCCTGACTAATTTTTTTATTTTTTGTAAAGATGAGTTCTCACTAGGTCACCTAGGCGTAAACATTTCTAAAATTAGCTTTTTAGTACCTAACTCTTAAATATGAACAGAAAACAAAGGATCTCTTAATATTTGATGAGATGCTCCAATATGATAAAATGACCAAAAGCACAAAGAAAAAAGGATCTCAAAAGAAACAATGTGAACGGATAAAAATCTTAAAAACAAACAAACAAATCACTATACTAACCCCCCAAAATTATGGGTCTCCAGGATGCTATTTTAAAAAGGAACTTAGAGGCCGGGCTCAGTGGCTCAGCCTGTAATCCCAGCGCTTTGGGAGGCCGAGGTGAGTGTACTGCCTGAGCCCGCGGGTTCGAGACTCGCCCGGGCAACTTGGCAAGACCTCATCTCTACAATAAATCAAAAATTAGCCTGGCGTGGTAGCGTGCACCTGTAGTTCCAGCTACTTGGAAGGCTGAGGCGGAAGGATCGCCAGAGCCCAGCAGGTCAAGGCTGCGGTGGCCGGGAGCGGCCACTGCACTCCAGTGTGGGCGACAGAGTCCAACTCAAAAAAAAAAAAAAGGGAACTTAGAGAACAAAAAGGAGCTCTTGGCAATTAGAATATTACAGCAGAAACGAAAAAAAATAAACAGGTGGATAAAACAAATTGATTGGTCTTGTAGGCCACAGTAAGGACCCTGGCTTTTACTTTTATCAAGAAATCACTGGAGGTTTGACAGAAGAATAACATAACTTGATATACTGCAACTACCTATAAACAAGTGACTAGCCGGGCACAGTGGCTCACGCCTATAATCCCAGCACTTTGAGACGCTAAGGTGAGAGGACTGCCTGAGCTCACAGGTTCAAGACCAGCCTGGGCAACTTGGTGAGACCTCATCTCTACAATAAATCAAAATATTAGCTGGGCATGGTGGCACATACCTGTAGTTCCAGCTACTTGGAAGGCTGAGGTGGAAGGATCCCCTGAGCCCAGCAGGTTGAGGCTGTGGTGGCCATGAGTGTGCCACTGCACTCCAGCCTGGGCAACACAGTGAGACTCCAACTCAAAAAAAAAATAAAGAAGTGACTGACTAGGGGCAAGGCAGGAAGCAGATCAATGAGGAGTTACTGGAGTCACTCATGGCAGAGAAGATGATGGCTTGGAGCAGGGTGGCAGCAATTGCATTCTGAAAAGTGGTAGGATTCTTAATATATTGATTGAATCAACATGATTTAGGCATTTTAAATTGGGACCAGAGAGAGCAAGAAGAGTCAAGGATGGGTCCTTTGAGCCAGGCTCGGTGGCTCAGCCTGTAATCCTGCGCCTTTGGGAGGCTGAGGTGAGTGGATTGCCTGAGCCCACGGGTTCGAGACCTGCCTGGGCAGCGAGACCTCATCTCTACAATAAATCAAAAAATCAGCTGGGCGTGGTAGCGCATGCCTGTAATTCCAGCTACTCAGAAGGCTGAGGCGGAAAGATCGCCAGAGCCCAGCAGATGAGGCTGCAGTGGCCGGGAGCAGCCACTGCACTCCAGTCTGGGCGACTAAGTGAGACTCCAACTCAAAAAAAAAAAAAGGGATGGGTCTCAGGTTTTTGGAAAGATGGGAGTTTCCACTAAGGGGAAGACTTAGCAGAGAGGTTTATGAGGAAGATCAAGACATCCATTTTAAGCTGGGCTCGGTGGCTCAGCCTGTAATCCCGCGCCTTTGGGAGGCTGAGGTGAGTGGATTGCCTGAGCCCGTGGGTTCGAGACCCACCTGGGCAGTGAGACCTCATCTCTACAATAAATCAAAAAATCAGCCGGGCGTGGTAGCACATGCCTGTAATTCCGGCTACTTGGAAGGCTGAGGCAGAAGGATCGCTGGAGCCCAGCAGGTCGAGGCTGCAGTGGCCGGGAGCGGCCACTGCACTCCAGTCTGGGCGACTGAGTTAGACTCCAACTCAAAAAAAAAAAAAAAAAAAGACATCCATTTTGGACTTATAGTGACGTTTTCAAGTATGTAAGAATCCAGAGTTCAAGGCAGAGGTGTAGGCTAGGTATATGCATTTAAGAATCATCATGAGATTTGATGAAATTGCCTTGGGTGTGAGGTAGATACAGATGCAGGGCACTGTAGCCTAGGTGACAGAGTGAGAATCTGACTCAAAAACAATTTTTTTTCTAAAGAAAAAAAACAAAGAATCTTCAAAAGAGCAAAAATTAGACTAAAAAAATTACAAATGGAAACCATAAGACAATGAAATATCTTCAAAGTGCTGGGGGTAAAAATTGGCAACCTAGACTTTTATACCCAGTGAAAATATCCTTCAAAAAGGAAAATGAAATAAAACATTTTTAGACAGACAAAATCCGAGAGAATTCAACAACAACAGACCTACTCTAAAGGAAATACTCAAGGATGTTCTAATGTTCTTAACTTCTGTGACTCCCTCTTGCAGTCCACTCCCAGCACTGCAGCTAAAGCAACTGTAACTAAAAACTACAGCAGTGGGCAGGGGTGGTCTATACAAGGTGAAACAATGGCAGAGAGACTTGATCCTCACTAAAATTTTACTCTCAGTCGGGCTCAGTGGCTCAGCCTGTAATCCCGCACTTTGGGAGGCTGAGGTGAGTGGATTGCCTGAGCCCGCGGGTTCGAGACCCGCCTGGACAACTTGGCAAGACCTCATCCCTACAATAAATCAAAAAAGTTAGCCAGGTCTCGAACCCGTGGGCTCAGGCAGTGGTAACGCGGGCTCAGGCAGTGGTAGCGCGTGCCTGTAGTTCCAGCTACTTGGAAGGCTGAGGCGGAAGGATTGCCGGAGCCCAGCAGGTTGAGGCTACAGCAGCTGGGAGCAGCCACTGCACTCCAGTCTGGGTGACAGAGTGAGATTCCAACTCAAAACAAAAACAAAAACAAAACAAAACAACAACAAAAAATTTTACTCCCCAGGCCAATGTCAATTTTTCCCCAGGTTCTGCCCTAGCTCAAGTCCCACTATTACCCTGAAAGAGCTCATTTACTTCTCTGGGAAAAACACGTTTTTTCCCAAAGAGGTCTTAGCTATCCTGGTTTACTTAAGTATGATTCTTTCATATATTCATTCAGTCAACTAATATGTATAAAGTTACCATTATATTGCACGGTTATATTAGGTACTGTTCCTGTCTGCTGAAGGCTGGGGAGGAGTAGGAATGTAACAATACATGCCATACTAAAAGTTATGTATAGGCTTAATATAAAACAAAAACCTTGGAAGAACTCAGTACAAATTGGGTACTGAGCATTATAATACTACCTTGCTTTAGAGGGAAATACTCTTCCAAAAGTCATTTGAATCCACAAATACAAGAACTTTCTGGCCATGCATCTAAAAGAAGAAAATAAAAGATACACACATTTTAAAACTCCATTTGGCTTCTATGGTCAATTTTTTGGAAGGGAGAGGTACCAGGGAGAAAAATGATAGTATATGAGTCAAAAGGTGATGTCATAGCTAATCTTGCACCAGAGAATAGGATGTGACAGATTTATAATGCTGAAATCAAGCAGAATACTTTTTAAAAATACTTCCAATATAAAGCATTTTGTCAATGAAGAGATAAAAACATCAGAGTCGAGGTAAAGGAAGTACATGAAAATTCTTTGTTCATATTATTCTTCCTGCCTAAAATGCCTGGCAAGTGTCCACTAATCCTGGACCTTCCCCAATCCAAACAGAGTGAGTAGCTGTATACTCTCAGTACTCTGTTCAAATCTTATGACACCGTATTACAGAGATCAGCTTAGAGGGTATCTATCATTCTTTCTGCACTGCAAGTCCCTGAAAGCAAGAGTCATGTCTTATAGCATCCCCAGTACCTAGCACAATGCCTGGTACACAAACACAAAGATGGCTTGTCTTATGTAGTTAATCTCTGGGCTCAGCTTAGAATACTCTTACGCCTGCCCTGTATCTGACTTTTTCTTACATTATCCTTCAGGGCTCAGCTTAAACTCTGCTTCCTCCAGAAAGTCACTGCACTAACAGCTATGCTAGTGTGGCTATTCTTGTCATGTGTGTCTGTGGTGCTACCTCCTTCTCTCATAGTACTTATCACACTTTACTGTTGTGGCTTAACAGTCTATCAAGCCTACCTCATTTTAAACTTTCATGAGGTCATGGAACCAAGACTGTCTTCAATTCGCCTTACATGCTCAGCATGTATCATCACATCTAGCATAGCAGGTGCCTCATCATTTTTTTTTTTAACTCAGAGTCTAACTTTGTCGCCCAGGCTGGAGGGCAGTGGCACAATCACAACTCACCACAGCCTGGTCCTCCTGGACTCAGGTCATCCTTCTGCCTCAGTCTCCTGAGTAGCTGGGACTATAGGCATATGCCACCATGCTGCCTAATTTTTTTTATTTTTTGTATAGACAAGGTCTCACTATATTGCCAAGTGCTTGAATGAATAAAAGGATGCTTTCAATATACCTAATCAAGATTAGCATAAGTATAATATCTTCTTTAGAATTTGTCTAACAGGTTTTCTGGTTTTCACCAAAAACCCAGAGAAAGGAGAGAAGAGTACCAGAAAATGATCATTTTTCTTGGACCATGTTTAAACTTTTTCTGGAAGAATCTTTCTTAACAGCTTATATATTAGGGGGCACAACTGGAGAACATGAAAACATTCAATGGCAGACTTTATGTCTGCAGATTTCTAAATATCCTTTTCTTTTTTTTTGAGTTGGAGTCTCACTCTGTCACCCAGACTGGAGTGCATTGGCCGCTCCCGGCCACCGCAGCCTTGACCTGCTGGGCTCCAGCAATCCTTCCGCCTCAGCCTTCCAAGTAGCTGGAACTACAGGCGCGCGCTACCACACCCGGCTAAATTTTTTTTATAATTTATTGTAGAGATGAGGTCTTGCCAAGTTACCCAGGCGGGTCTCAAACCCGAGGGCTCAAGCAATCCACTCACCTCAGCCTCCCAAAGCGCGGGATTACAGGCTGAGCCACTAAGCCCGGCTTAAATATCCTTTTCATCTGAACATTTCACTATAAAGAACAGGCATCAAGGTCTTCAACTAATTGAGATAGGAGAATAAGAATCATTCCCTCATTTTAACCATGACAAGAGAACAAAGAAAGTCACTGTAGGCAGATGACCACTCATAAGCTCACCTGATGCGCAATTCTCTTAACCGGCCCCGTCGAGTCCAAGTACATGAGGCATGATACTTCACTGGATGACTGGGACTAGGTAACCCCTTCCGGATCCCAGAGAATGCAGAAGACTTCTTGTTGGACAGTATTTTTGGAGAAAAAGGTTTCTTAACTGCACCATCGCTAAAAGACCTTAAATGTGAAGAGTAACGAGGCAAGGAAAAAATAAAATTATCACTATGTATGATAAAAATGCCTTTTAACGTACAAGCAAAATTAAATTGATTAATTTTTTAGACAATGTGGCTTTGATACCAATATGACATCACATACTTTTACTAAACACTCAATTTCTGACTTTTAATCCCATCTCAGAAGCATTAAGAAAATGTCTTTTATAATCATGAAAGGAAAAAGCAGTGGTGATGGACTGGAAGTGGAGATACAGGTATGAACTCATGATAACAAAAAAAAAGTATGTTAGAGTTCTGTCCACAGGAAATACCTAGAAGCAGTGGTATCCCATTAGTAATGAACACAGCTACAGACCAAACATGGTTTAGAAAATAACACTCCTTACTAAAAGGAACCAGGACTCCTTGGAGAAATGGCTGGTCTTCAGGTCTGGGACAAGGGAACTACAAGCCAAGCCTAGAATATCTTATTGGGTCAAAAGATAAGGAAATGTTAAAATGATGGGAGTATGTCAAAAGGACATAAGAATCAGGTTGAAGGGGTTCTAATAGCCAAATCTGAAACAACTTGAGCAGTAACAGATTAAAACCCAATGGATAAAACAAGAATCCATAAATCCATACTGTATAAGCAAATAAATGAATAAACATATAGGGAAGAATGGAAAGCTCTACTTTGCAGTAGAAATATCAATGAATAAATCTGGAAGGAGAGAATTGGAAAGTCATAATTTAGGAATTATCAAAGTAATAACTGGTTTAAGTAAGAATTTTCAAGGAATACAGCCGGGCTTGGTGACTCAGCCTGTAATCCCGTGCCTTTGGGAGGCTGAAGTGAGTGGATTGCCTGAGCCCGCGGGTTCAAGACCCGCCTGGGCAACTTGGCGAGATCTCATCTCTACAATAAATCAAAAATCAGCCGGGCGTGGTAGCGCGCGCCTGTAATTCCGGCTACTCAGAAGGCTGAGGTGGAAGGATCGCCAGAGCCCAGTGGGTCGAGGCTGCAGTGGCCGGGAGCGGCCACTGCACTCCAGTCTGGGCAATGGAGTGAAACTCCAATTCAAAAAAAAAAACAACAAAAAAAGAATTTTCAAGGAATACAAAACCAAGCTGATGCTAGCATGATGAGGAAGAGGATGCTTACGTAGTTTCAAAAAAATATTTCAAAAAAATACTGATTTGTTACTTTGTAGAAATTATAGATAACTATCTAACCAAATGATAAGTTAACATCACTGATAATGGAACCAATTAACATAATATGTCTCTTCATATGATGCACTGAGGACACAGGATCACTTCTGTGGTTATTAAGGTCAAAAATGCATAACCAGCTGGGCTCGGTGGCTCAGCCTGTAATCCTGCGCCTTTGGGAGGCTGAGGTGAGTAGATTGCCTAAACCCGCGGGTTCGAGACCCGCCTGGGCAGCGAGACCTCATCTCTACAATA